TTTTTTCCAGACCTATGCTGAGTAAAGTGCATGTTACGCTCCTCACAATGCTCCCATTCTGCCTTCATAATAACATTAAGCATGAAGGGCTCTTTGTCCAGGATTATCCCAAAAGCATTCTCAGGAGACTTGATCCCAAGAGGTATGGGATTTCCTCAGCTCCCACTGAGCTACAGAACAGCACTATAGACTTTCTTCTCCTATCTGTTGCAGCAGAGTTTAGCCTTGGGCTCTTTTCCTCCACAAGTCTCCCTGGGGTTCTTGCATCCAACTTTACAACTATCTTGGGACATTTGTGCACGGGAGAGAGGAAGAGGCCAAGGGAATTACCTTTCACCCGTCATGGACATGGGGATGAGGTAACAACAGCGCAGAAGGGACCAAAGGGTGCTTGGCCCTATGGTGCCCCTATGGCACTTGGGACAACATCCACAGTTTACAGAAGTAAGAGCAGATGCTATTAGTAAACGGGCCAAACTGGGCCTCTTGGACATCTCTGGTGGCTACCACTCTATCTGCAGCCCCTGTCAGGCAAAAGCCATCATGCTTTCTCTTTCCCCACTGTCATGTCTAAGCTTCAGGCACTGGCTATGACCATAAATATATCCATTACCAGCAATTTCTTCTCAGATCCTGATGGAGACTTGATAGCCAAGTGCAAGTGCATGTTCCTGCATTCCCCATTTCTTTCCATTTTTGCTTGGATTTGCAAAGGCTAGAGGTTGTTCAATCTTCTTTTCTATTGACTGTCAATGGGAATTCATCCTAGCGCAATGAAAAAATCCCCCTCCTCAGGCCTAAAATGCCACTCTGCATGTTCCTAATTGCCTTGTTATTTTTGGATGCTTAGCTTCAGCCGTGGGGATTGTAGTTGCTCCTTCAATTCCCTGATATTATCATTAAAACTGATGGGTCGTAACCACAGGTAAAACCATGTGATGTAGGAAACGGGCTTTCAGAGCCCTTTACAATGGCAACTATAAATGGCAGTAAACAATGCGCAGAATCTGCATTCTCCAAAAGGCGCATCCCTGGAGACCACACAGTTGCTGTTTAGAGAGTAGCAACTGAACGGCCACCAAATCCAGCAGGAACTGCGGGCACTATAAATAGCACATGCTGGGACTGAGGTAGCAATGCTGGGGCTGAGCCATAGCGCTGCGAAACGGCTGGGATAAAGGCAGAGGTGTAAAAAAAATAGGTCCGGATGTAGAGTTTGGCCCGTAGAGTTGAAGCTAAGGTGGTTGCAACCACTATTACGTGAATTCCCTTGCTGCATGCGTACTGTTCAGTGCACAGGTGGGAAGCAGCCTGCAAAGCCTTACCGTGTCGCGTGCCGACTGTGAGCTGGAGGCAACCGCGAGTATCAGCGCAGGGAGGACCTCGTTCTGAAATGGCTGGCTGCCCCGTACATACCGCACAAAGGCAGTAAACTCCTTATCTCACCACCCTATAAATCTTTGTTGACCATCTCTGTATGTGTCTCCATAAGAACATTTGACCTAATAGCCTTTTTAAAAATTTCCCTTCATTTTCCAGTATAACCCCCCAGTGAATCATTAATGTAACAAGATAAAGATCTCTAGCTAAGGAATTATTCTTATTATAAAGTTCCCAAGTTCTAGTAGCAGACCTCTCCAGGGTATATATTAAACCAAAAAGGTCCCACACAATCATTTAAATCTACAAAATTCAATTCATTTCTGACTCCCTCCAGGCACTTGTTTTATAGTGATCTAATAAAGGGGAGTTGTGGCTGTTAAATGATAAAGTCTCCAAAGGGGATGTGGGAACTCTGCACACTAGTCCCCAACGTTTGCTGGGAAGCTTTATTCCTCCATCTCACCCACAACCCTTTTGAAAAGGAAACCTTTCAACAGCTTGCAAAATGAATAGATGATTCTGTTTTTAAAGAAAAGCAAAGTTCATAAAATTTCCTTACATAAATGTACCGCTCGAGGATATATGTTACAAAAAGATTAAGCACTTAATTGTTCCAGAAATTATGTGTATGCCTTCACCAAATCACTGAAACTGGAGATGGAGCAGATGCACGTCTGCTCTACTTCCTTGCTTGTGCGGGAATGTTCCCTGCGATGCTTTTTCTGCTACTTCCTCCAGTCTAGTTCTAAATTACCTGTGAAATTATCATTGGTGCAATTCTGTTGTGCGATAATGCACATAGATTCCCCGGCAGACAGTGTCTGATGGAGGTTTTTTCCCACAGTCTTGAGAATAGAGAAGTAGGGCTAATAAAATACCAGCTCTCCTGACTGCATCAAAAGCATAACTGCAGGTATATCAGTATCATCTACTAAACCACACTCAAGAGACACCAGAAGCTTTTTTTACAGTTGGAAAATATATTATACATGAGGTGTAGTGTTAGAAAAAGGAGTCGCTTACCTGATGTTAAACACAACTTCCTACCTAACACAGACACAGGGCCAGGTCAAGCTTGATACTACCACGGCTAATTACCGTTCATCTGAGAAAGCCCAGGGTTAATCATCATCAGCTAACACAGGTTTTGCAGTATCCATTTTTGTCCATGCTAAGAGATTGTTTATGTTCGGTTTTAACCGTGTGGTAACTACCTTATTTTGCAACACGCTGTATTTTCCTTGCAAAGATGAGACACAAAAGAGGAAATTGGAGCTTCCTTCCAAAAAGCAAAAAATAACCATCCTGAGGTGGATCCACAGAGACTAGCAGAGAGCCAGCTTTATTTCCAAGGAAGAAAATTCAGTTTGTCGGCCCGTGCCCACATCTTAACGCATTAAGTGTTTTTTGGGGTTGCCACTGGGACCAAATGTTTTTTTCGGCCAAAGGCAGGCTTTGTGAGAGTGTTTAAAGAAATCAATACGTGAGGTTTGCCTAAGGTTACATGTTTGTTAATGTTTTATTGATTACACTATCGGTTGTAAATTATGTAACTTAATAAAGCTGGGGACTCTTTCTAATAAAGACAAAGAGGTTATTCCATTAGCTGGCAACTTAAGGCAAAGAAACTTAATAATATAGCACATTATAAGACCACAGCCCAGAGACTGACAAATCCAATTCATCATGGAAGTGGCTGTGATGTTGCAGACACCGGGCTATGTATTCACGCAATTAGGCAGGGCAGGTCAAGTTTAAAAGAGGGCGAAGTCTGCTTTCTGAAACTGTGATGTGGCCATAAAAAGCGGATGAGAACAGCGAAGTGGTGGCCCGAAAGGATGCCTGGAGCTGTTTTGAAGCCGGAGGCACCCCCCAGCCACCCCGCACAGGGTTTAGATGGCACGTGCACCATCGCAGCCTTCTGTTGCGTGTTCACATTGTTAGCCAAGACCTTTTTTCAGAGTTAGTTTTCCCCAGAACTGCTTCCCACATCTCCTTGGAGATGAACCTGTTTTGTTTTATTTTATTTTAATTTAAAGAAGGCTTTCATCACCAAGGGAAAAAAAAAATTCTGAAAACGCTTTTGAAAGGAAACGAGACAGTGAATTTCCAAGTGACTAAAGATTGCCTCTGCACGATACAATTGCATTTCCACGGCCGTGGAGGACAGGTACTGCAGCTCCCCTTGCCATGCGTGGGACTGGCAAGCAGCTGGTTGCAGAAGTGGATCTAATATTTGACTTGACTGCAGTTGCCAGGCATGGGAGTTGTTCTGAGAGCAGAAAAAAGCATCTTGTGTCAGGGGATGATGGAGCACCTCCTCCAGCTGCCTCGGCAACCTGCTGCTTTTTATTTAGATGGGAGCGGAGGCTCCAAACCCCGTCTCCTGAGCGGTGCCCAGCCCGGCTCCCCTCCCGTCCGCACGCACCCCTGCCAGCACCCTCTTCCATCCAGACTCGGTAGTTAAAGGCAGGTGTCAGCGAGGCCACCCCGACCACTCGTTGGGTGCTTGAAGCACCATCAGCCCACGGGGGCACGGCAGGCACCGGGATTTCTAATGAACACGAGCCAGGGGCTGGAGGAGTGGGTCTGCTGCCAGCAGAGTGCTCCTCTCCGGGGCAGGCAGACCTCCTTTCGGCTCCTGGACTGTCAGAGCAACCATTAACTGATAACATGGAGACCATCCGTCAGGCGACGCGGGAGTCTGTGTGTGTCCGTGTGTCCATCAGGAAGCGCCAGGTGCTGTCAGGAGGAAACACCTGGAATCTGTCTCTCGGGTCGACGGATTCGGGCAGCTAAAATGGACGTACTCAGGATGGCCTGGTACATTTTACAAATGTAGGGTCTTTCAGCTCCTGCCATTAGGAGATTTTCAGTTTCCCATCTTCCCAATTAAACCCGTTATTTTCTTAAGAAATTCAGAGGTTGGGGACAGATTCTCACGGTTACATCTGTGTGAAGTCAAGGCTGTTATTAGGTGCTGCATGCACAGAGCAAGCTCCGGCATTATGGATTTGAAGCTGTGAATTAATCCCACTGGAAGGCACATTTACATCACTCAGAATTTAAGGGGAACAGCATAACAAAACTGGCTCTGTTTATTTGGGCTTGTTGAGTGATGGATTCATCCTGCCCTACAGTATCCATTGGTATAAACCCACCAAGCTTGTAATCAACATCCTAAACTGAAGCCCATCCCCACAACTAATATCTTACCCTTTCACTAAAATCACTGCTATCTCCATCCTGGAAGAGTAACAAAAACTCACAGCCCAAGTATTAATTCAGAAAAAAACCACTAATGCTTAAAGGAAATGTCAAAACAAATTAAAAAAAAAAAAAAAATCCTTGGAGAGGACGATCCACTTTTATATGGCTCCGTAGCAAGGAAGAGACTGGGCCACGCTAGTACAAGAGTGCCCACGCGGCGTGTCTCGAGCGAGGCGTGCCTCAGAGCGAGCCTGCGTGCCAGCAGTAGCAGGTTTTATTTTTAAAACTGAGCAGTCAGTGAAATGATGGACTGCCGATGCTCTGCAGGGCACAAAATGAGCTCCCAAGCATGCGACCCACATAACAGCAAATTATTCTGACTTGACCGTTACCCACAGGTAATGAAGCTAACGAGCTAACGAGGAGCTGCCAACCCAGTGTTGGTCTCGAGTGGGAGATGTTGGCCTGAACCTGTTCCCATTGCGGTGAATGATGAGTTGCTCGGCCGTTAGCACGGGAGCAGGCTCAAATCCTTCGCCTGTCTGGTTTGGAGTTAAATTTTGTAGGGGGTACAAATAATGGTGGAAAGGAATGATTAAATACCGATTTAAGGTCATGTTTGCAAGCTGAATTACTGCTGTAAGAAAGGGAATCTCTCAGCTGATGGTTGTTTTTGCCACATTGCCATTACTCTGAACGGCACTGTCAGTGCTGCCAGTTTAACACTGATCCCGGCCCCCATCCCGTTGCTCCTGGTTCTCTCTGGGCCTCCAGTTTCTCCAGTTTCTGACTCCAAGCAAGCTGGAGAGGACAAAAAGGGAAACCAGAAAAGCTGCTACAGCTCCAGGATGAGCACACAGCTCACCCAGGTGAGCTGTATTCAATCATTTCATTTTTCCATCTTACTTTTGTCTTGCAACATGTCATGTTCACATCTAACTATGATCTGAAAGTGCAAATGCTTGGTATCATTTTAATATTTATTCCCATGAATAACCCCTCTAAAATGAAAGCATTAGTGTTTGCATGATCAAAGCCACTGTAAACTCTGTGTTCTCTGAGGTGGCAAGTGTGTTTTATATTTGCTCCCTAAGCTGCTTTGAACACTGTGGCCAATGCAAAAATAATGCATAACAATGAGTTTTCAATAACAATACTTAACAATTCTTCACTGATGAGGAGGGGAAATGTATGGTTCAATCATAATTTTGTTACTCTTTTTTTTTTCTTTATGAGATTGTTAAATAAGCCTGAATGAGATAAAGTATCATTGGCTTTATTGGAGGCATAAGCATCAGACTCATTCACAAAACGCTCCCCATTATTGCATGTAATTGGAAAACAAAAGAAAATAGTCTCTTTGGGACTTTAACATATATGATTTCTTTTAAAGACCTAATGCTGTGGGACATAGGCAGCGTTAATTCTGTGCATGCTCTTTTTAACTTGCGTTGTTTTTTTGATCCTTTCAATAACTCAAGACCCAATGTTCCTAGTTAAATGTGCTTTTTTATTTTTTTTTAATTAATGCTTACAGTCCAATGTCAGGTCGCTTGCTCTATGCATGACTTGGATACTTAACTTCATTGCTCATTGATTTATGTTATGGTGGGACTCAGCACTATCAATCATTGCGCTAGATACTCTACAGACTTCTGACAAAGATGATGGCCCAATCTACATGATCAGAAACAACAGTTGGGCAAAAGCAATAAGCAGAAGCTCCTGGGCAGGGGGGGATGTGGAAGGGAAGTCAAGGACAAGAGGACAAGTTCAGATGTTGTTGTGGAGTTTTGCAGAAACCACTACCCGATTTTCCCAACATACATTCTTCTTGTATGTTGCATACAGCTTCTTAAAAATATAAATCGCTATAAAGTGATAGAGAAGTAAAACTAACACTGGAGAAAGTGGTTGAAGACAAAGCAGGGTCTTGATGGGAACTGCATTTTATTAAATGGCCTGTGGTAGGAAAACGTTTGGAAATTACTCTTGAGATTTCTCCGCTCCTTTTGTTCCTGGGAGAAGTTGTCTTGCTGCCTTTCCTGATTTTATTGGCTCAAAGGACAAATACATGCTGAGGTAGCAACTGGGCACAGAGTGACGGGTGGGGCACGTGGAGGCCCCAGCGCGAGGGGTGCGATGCAAATGCACTGGGAAGGCCTTTCCCCGTCTGGTGCCCACAGGGGGTGCAGGTGGTGACACTTCTTTCATGCCTTGGGGTAGAGTAGTTGCCCTCCTCTGCCACGATGAAGCCGGGGAAGTTTCTCGCTGCCGCCCTCACCGCACCTGGGAACGGCGCAGAGCGTGAGAGGGTGGGAGGAGAGAAAAGATGTTGAAGATCATAGGTCAGGTTCTGGGAAACTCTTTAAACTTACCCCAATTTTGTCTACTTAGCATTTCATCAAAATGCAGCCATGTTTTAAACAAATCTCTGAAGCCTGTCTCCCCAGTGAAGCCCATTACGTTTTGTGCCGCACAACTTTGATCTTGCAGAGCAGTCTCTTTATATTAAGTAATAAGGCATCATTTGGTTTGCATTTCATCCATTCTTTATCACATTTACATTCAGGTAATTGCTTCCACATGCTCTTTAGCAAAAGAAAAATCCAACTGCAGTTCAGGCATGTTTACATTTATGGATGGATCGACTATGGCAAGTGTTGATGCTTTATTTTATTTTTTTTTCTCCAAAGTGACCAATCCTCAAAGACCACTTTGGAGGGGGGAGGAGAAGGAGAGTCAGTAATTCATGTTTCAAAATTTTTCAAAATTGCTCCCAACTGAGATGTTTTTCAAAGCCCTAATTTACCATACACAAAGCTTTAACACTTGCCATGCCATCGTGTTTATGTCAGGGTAGGCCTCCCATGCGTTCACTTGTGTTACTATTTAATGTGGCAACAGCTTTAACCCTTTCTGTGCTACAAGCTGTAGATAAGCTAAGCCTGTGAGTATTTCTTCCAAGTAGAACAAAGCTGTATTTTGTCTTTCCTAGGAATTTTGGGTGAATAACTCCACTTGTCTCCTGTCCTGCTAGTAGAGAGAGAAATAGTTTGCCAACCACGGCATAAGTTGTGAAGCCTGAGAGAATAGCAGTGTGAACATATTAATGCTAAAATACAGTCATTTTTGTTTTAATTTTTTTCTTTTTCGCATGAAGGCTATTGTTGGGAAGGAGCAGAAACAAAGTACGGGCTGTACTGGAAGATGTAGAATGTACTCGTGTTCTGCATGCTTTATAGAGATTAATCTTCATACACCGACAGTTGTTGTCAGCGGAGTCGACATTTTTTTTTCTTTTGCTAATGTTAATGGAAATGTACTAGCACAATTTACCAGAGACATTTATAGCTGTTAAGATGGAGTGAAATGGAAAGAAGCTGTGAGAAGACAAACCCAGGAGATTTGACACTGCTTAGGTAACAGGAAGCATGAACTGAGGGGAGAATCTCTTATTCTAAGGTCTTTGAAAACTTTGCCAAATTCGGTCGTTTAGAAACTGTACTAAATGCTGTAGGAGTGTTGCTTGTCTTTTTTTCCTGATGTTGGGTGGGGGCCTGGGGGGAGAATGCGGGAGTGGTTTTTTGTTTTTCTAAGGGAAGGAGCACTTTAACTAGTTCTCTCTTTTAAGTAGAGAGGAATGAGCCCGTCACAATTGCCAGGATCTTAATCCACTTGACTGTATTTGTACAGTAAGTAGCACAGAGGGCCTGGCAACCTGATTTGCGAGTAGATACTGCTCTGTACACTTAACAGAAGTACTACTATGGCATGCAAATCTCTTGCTTGGGCACCAGGCAGCCTCCAAAAAGTTCCACACAGATCATCTGTTTACCCTGGGCACTTATCATAACATAGAGGCACACCATAGCACTTAACATAGGCTTCCTGCTACTACCCCTGGAGAGTAAGACAGCGATAAGGAGTCCCTGAGCAACTTAGGTCCTGCGAAATGCAGGTCTGGAGGGGCTTAGCTGAAGGACATATCCTCAGGACCTGTGTCTTGCAGCCTTGCAGAAACGCCCCGGCACCTGATCTGGGATTGCAGTTTTTAGCAAGTTAAGGGCACAGCTGCAGGTCCGAGGATGGGAGCTGCATGAGACAGTATGGAGAAGGGGGAGGAAAGCGCTTTGGCTCCAGCTCCATCATCAGTGACCCTCTCACTGAGCTGCCCCACCAGGCAGCAGTCCCTGAGCCCTGATGTCTGCAAGGACAAAGGTTGAGTAGAGCATCCCAGTGTGAGAAACATATCTTTGCCTTGTAGACAGGAGGCTGGCTCTTTCGCCACAGTGTGCCACAGGTTAGGGATTTTTTATTTATTTTTTTTTTATCCACGTGTAATCCCAGTGTGGCTGAGTGCCACACAGACAAGAAAATGATGAGACCATGTGCTTGGCTCCATGAGCCCGTGGGTGCGTGTGTGCAGTCACTTGCCCATTGCTGTCATATAGTCTGAGATCTAGGGGTGGGATGTAGACAAAAATTGTCTTCATTGAATGCCACATATTATTAACACTTCCAAAATTCAAGTGCAAGATGTGTTGGAGACTATGAATTTCTGCAAGGGCCAGCAGAAGTATTTCATATTGAGAAAAGCCAGAACACAAAGAAAGGTCTCTGACAGTGCCCCGTGTATCCTTGTCCATTTGTCCTTGATTGAAGAGGTAAAATTAAAAAAAAAAAAAGTTTGTTGTAAAAAATACTGCATTTTTATTAGCCTTTAACCAATGGAAAAGGACTAGTTGTCCATTTTTGAAACACAATTTGTCCACCGTTTGTTTTTCTTCTATCCCACAGCTACTTTTCATACAGTAGTCTACAAATTTTGTGTGAGATACCCTTGTTCGTTACTGGCAGAGGGCAGATGTCTGGGACTGGTCCATTCATACCACGATGAACATCTGGAAGAGTAGTGATAAATAATTGTTCTCTGACCATGAAGAGTGTAGATTCATAGGATAATTGAGGTGGGAAGGGACCTCAGGAGATCCCTAGTCTAACCTCCTGCTTAAAGCAGAGTGAGTTATGGGATCAGACCAAGTTGCTTAGGGCTTTGTCCAGTTAGGTCTTTAAAACCTTCAGGGATGGAGACTTCACAGCCTCTGTGAACAACCTGGTCCACTGCTTGGCTGTCCCCACAGGGAAAATGATATTCCTGTCTGAACTACTCTTGTTTCAACTTACGCTTATTGCCCTTCATCTTCGCACCATGCACCACTGTGAAGTGCCTGGCACCACCTTCTTGGTAACTTCCTCACAGGTACTGGGGAGACGGGTTTTAGGTCTCCCTAAAAGCATCTCTTCTCCAGGTTGAACACACACCAGTCTCACAGCCTCTCCTCACAGAGCTAGCACCCCAGCCCTGAGTGCCTTGGGGGCAGTTTTGGGAGCCCAGAACTGGACAAGTTATCTAGGTGTGGTCTAAAGAGTGTTGAGTAGGGGGATCTGCTTGATCTGTTGGCTGCGCTCCTGTTCACAGAGCCCCAGATGCTGCTGGCCTTCCAGACCTCTTTTGCTCAGTATGTATCTGCAAGGTTATTTCAGCAGTAATGTGCTCAGCACACTCTCTGTTCGGGGAGCTGACGCAGCCCCATCGGCTCTGCTGCCCACCTGAACACCAGCGGCCACATTGCAAGAGAGGCGTGCTAGCTGGCCCTAATGAAGCGAAAGGGTTAATTTCTCTTGGCTTGTACATAACCCTACACTTCCAGCTCAGTAGATGGAAGGAATGTGATTAAATCGGCGTTGATACCAAGTCTGAGAACAGATGTGAGAGTGAATTGGCAGAGCCGGAATTC